CCAAAACTAGCAAAAGCAGGGAGTTGGACAGGGGACAGATTGTATTTGTCTTCAGTGTGGAAGGGATTGTCACTCTCGAATTGGCCTTCTCAGCCACACTAGATGTTCGAAGATGCCTAATCTAAAAACGTGCTGATGGGTGTGGCTGTCTCATAAAACTCTGGAGAGGTGGAAGACTAGAACAACCTCTTGTTCTAGTGCTAGGACCCTTGTCATGACAGTACCCATGGCAGAACAGAGTGTATTTTACATATCTGGCACATCAATTGGTGACATACCTTTGCACCCAGGAGTGCCATGTTCCTTTAAACCTGGTCCAAAATATAGATGAGTGCTTGTTACTTGGCCTCAACTGTGTTGGACCTCTTTTCACCAGTTGCAGTTATTAGACATTCACAAATCTGGTCATATTTTTAATCATCACTGTGTTGCAGTTTATAGGATTATATTTCCCTCTACTGGCTGGTCTGAGAAAAAGATATACATTTTGTAGAATTGGATCATCTCCCCTTCCCCAAAACGATGCGAGGCCCTTTTTGTCCCCAAATTTTTCCATTTCAAGTCCTGGGAAAATAAAGTAGTTTTTTAAAATGAGGCTTTTCACAACTGCAATTTGATATGATCATATTTTCAGAAGACTCTGAGTTTATATCGCATTCCAGTCCACGGAGTGATCGAGTCTATTGTCCACCGACAACTTTTTCATTTTGGCTTTTATGGAAAGAACTTACAGAAAATAGAATGTTTGCTTAGTGCAGTGTTTCTGTGTGCAGCTGAGGTCTATTAATTTTAAGTATGCAGATCCAAATAGGAAATGGGCTTGTCCTTAGTGCTCTGTGGCTTACTCCTGTGTGCTCTGCGTGTGGTTTGAACTGTCACCCCAGGTTCCTACTCTCCTGCTACTGTGTGTACTAACTGGCTTAAGCCACCTTCTTGGCTGTTGCAGGCTGCAGCATCTGGAACTGGGTCTGAATTGCATGACTTGAACCAATTGCGTCCTTTCTCTGGGTGGAAGGGCAGGAGGCTTCTTTGGACAGGAAATGGGCATGAAGAAAAAAGTTCAGAAAAAGTTCCTGGCAATATTTGTTGCAGAGAAGTCTTGGTCAACTTGACCTAACATTGCTTTATACTAGTAGCATATTTCACAATTTAGGGAGTGGGACATATGGTTGTCACATGGACTGGAACAGTGCTTTTGTTTTTGTTTTTCTCTCCTCATTTTTCTTTCGCAAAGCAGAAGGAGTTGAATGCTGAATAATTTGGTCGGGAGAAATGTATTTTAACCATTTTGTATGGCAGACACAAAGGGAAAGAGAACTTGGTGTCTGCGATCACAAATTTATACCTACATTTGATTCATTTTTCAAAATCTCATTTGTGCTAGACTTGGGAGTCTTCTTGTTTCCATTGTTCAGTAGCTCTTTGAAAGGTTAATGATAATATATACTAAAGTGGGTGTTTTGATGAACTTACCTGAAAAAGGGCAGGCTAAATTTTCTGGAGTTTGCCAGCTTTGACATACTATGGGATCTTGAGCAACTAGAAACTAATTTCTAATAGGAGTCATATTTTAATTTTTAACAGGAGTCATATTCTCCTGGGTAAATAAGTTTTAATGGAGGCCATATTTTAATGGGTGAATGACATTGGCTTTGCCCTTCCCTTGAGATACAGCTTCAGAGAGGCAATCTCTGTCCATACTGTGACAGGAAGGGAAGAGAGTTAAACTCCCCCATTCACCCATCCTAGAGCAGCATGACCCGGGGTTCTTTTGCTTCCTCAGTTTGCTCTGTATGTTCTTAAAAGTTCAAATCTCTAGCCCACAGCTCCTCCACAGGCTGGATAACATGCAGACCAAGCTCTGCCTGTCATTTGATTCTTGGCCAAAGGAACAGCTGGAACTCCTCCAATTGATACCTCAGTTGGAGTCTTGCTTTCTCTGCACCAACCTTCCTTTCTTCATAGTGAAGGCAGGTGTGCTGCAAGCTGCATGTATCTTGTACTTCAGGAGCTGTCTGCCTCAAGACTCTGACAATTCCTGAAGACTCAGGGCTCAGACAGGTTCTGAAGTTCTTTCTCTTTGAATTTGACTTTGTTCCTACCTTACTCTCCTCATGTGGCTCAAACAAGGAGGGACACAAAATTGAGGGGTAGGAGAGCCTCATCTTGAAACCCTGTGACTAGATGATCTCATATGTAGGGGCAAATTTTGCTCACAATTGGGTAGTCTATAGAACTCTCTCCTCCACCGCCATCTGTTCATTCAGTAGTTTTAAAATTGTCCAAAGGATAGCTTAGTTTACAAATAAGGTGTAATGAAGCACCAGGAAATAATAACAAATTCAGTAAGCTATAAAAAGAACTCTCTGTTGCCCTGTAAAAGCCCTTGCTAGCCAGATGCTTCTCACTGTTCTAAGGACTGGGAGGCTATAGGACACAGCACCCCATCTTTTTTTTTTTGGAAGCTATTTGGTACTAACAAATTTTCAGAACCTATTACGAGGTATAACAAATGAATTATTTAAATTGGGAACTTAGTAGCATGTGTGCATTTTAAAATTATTTCTAGCTGTGACCATTACTAATATCTTATGGGACAGAAAGCAAACGGTTGGAAATAAAACATACTGTTGACATGGTGTAAACCTGAGCAGGAAGTACTCCTTCGTCATGCACAGGAGGACTGTATTCTGGCCCATTAACTTTCTATAGCCAAGTAGGTGGAGAGCACTATCCTGCTCTACTCTTAGCAAATTGTGCAATCTTCATGCTGAGCAGCTTAATTGAGATCCCTAAAAGCAAAGCTAGGTTGGAATTTTTGAGAACAACAGCAGCAGGTCTTATACTAAAGAATGAGCATACTCTCTACTGAGAGTATCAGCTGCTGTCATTCATTCCAGCTTCATTTAACTGGCTCATTTCCCAGAGTTTCCATTAAGCTCTTGTTTTGTTGTTTTTAAAGCCTCTCCTCTAGCCCCAACTTTTCTGCAGAGCTTCCACGCCAAAGTCCTCTGGCTATGATACAGTATATGATTCCCATTCCTAGCACCTGAGTTTGGGGCAGAAATCTGCAGCCTAAGATCAGATTAAGGTGGGCTGAACTAAAATTCAGATCTGATTCCCAGGTGGACTGTCTTGTGCTAGATGAAACGAAGAATTGGTTATGCTGGGAAGCAACATTACAGCCATCTAGCTTTGTTACAGTCCTGCCACAAACATTATAAAACACGAGAAGAACATGTCTACAATAATTTTGTAGAATTAATAATTAAATCCACTCCACAGACATTTTCTGGTTCAAGATTCCCTACAGGTTACTGTGGCTGCTGCCTAGCACTAAGTGGAGATTTATTGCTAGGGGAATTAGGTTTCAATAATTGACACTGTCAGAACCAGCACTTACAAGCGATTGGGTCATATCCTGAAATCCAGACATTGCGTGAAGTCCAGTAGGAAGTCACAACTAGAGTGGCCCTATTGAGTCCATCAATTCCTTTCATTCAGTGGGCCTATTCTAGTTTCAACTTACTACTAGATTTCAGACACTGTAGTCTTATAGTCTAAATGTCCAGCACAAATATTGGTGGTCTTATAGTCTACATGTCCAGCACAAAAACTGAGGGTGCATTCATATGATGATTTGTTTCCTAACCTGATGTTTCTACATAGAAACCCTGAATAGCTATTTCCATAGTTATCCTGCATTGTAAGAATTTAGGAACCGTGTCTTTTTTTAAAAAATGGTTCAACTTGAGACTTGTTTACACGTATGTTGCCCAGGAAGACAAGACTTCTCCTTGGATCTTATTTGTGTCTTATAGATGTTGGGGAATGTCAGATCTTATTATTATTGCACCCTAGAAAACATCAAATACTTCCCTGATGGTGTTTATTTAGTGACCCCTGATAATCTCCCAAGGCATAGAGTGTTCTGAGCACCAGCTAAGATCTTCTTAAGACATCTCAGGAGACCAGGATTTACTCAGGAGTGGAATCCTTTGAGAGCTAAATTCTTTGTGGCAAACAGGCTTCCCCAATGGATGTTGTGCTGTGGAGAAATTGGGATATCATGCAATTGTTCTTGTGAATGCTTTGTTTAGATCAGGGCTGTGTGAGAAGGGATTTATTCTTGTAAACCCTTCTTGAAGTTCTCCTGAAGGTCTGTGTTTGTGTCTGTGGGTACCTGTGTGCATTGGAGATAAATGAATGCTCTTAGGCAATTTATCTCATAATATCATTAGGAACATTCTTCTTGAATGTTCTATGAGCTTGCAAGACATTTTTCAGTAAAGAGTAGAATATAGAGGATTTAGTATTACTTATAAAGAACCCAGTTTAGTGACTTGAGAAAGTAAAGTAATGCCTTTGAAAGAATATGTAAGCATGATAGAGATATCTTTAAAGATAACTTTTTAAATAAGATCAAAAGGAATGGCAGGGAGAATTAGTCATATACAGTAGTTTCTATGGACGGAAAAGAGCAGATACGGATTAAATGGTTTTCAATGCATTCCTATGGGAAATGCAGATTCAACATAAGAACTTTTCAACTTGAGAACCACCTTCTAATACGCAAAGGAATGCCAGGGAGAATTAGTCATACCGTATATTGTGGTCTCTTTAGTCAATCAGAGAGTTCTTCTAAAACATTTGTTTCTTTAGAAAATGTCCAGAATGGAAGGACATTTTCACACTGGCAATATAATTTCCTTGCATTTCCAGACTTGATGTGTCAGATGGTGTGTGTTCACTCAGAAGAAAAGACATACGTACATTAAGCAGGGAAGGTAAATTTGTAGAAATGAGGTAGGTGCACACTATATTCATGCAAATTTTTACAGAAATACACCTGCTGTGTGTGGTAAGCAGCAGTGAGATTTTGAGATGAGAGCCATGAAAAGAGTACTAAAACTGCAGGAGGCCTGTGTTTGCCGGTGCATTGATTACCATGCTGTCCTTGCACAATTCACCAAGGAACTGATATGTTTTTGTTCCAACAGATCCTGAATCTCAGAGAAAGAGGACTGTGCAGAATGTACTTGACCTGCGGCAGAACCTGGAAGAGACAATGTCCAGCTTGCGGGGTTCCCAAGTAACTCACAGGTGAGGCCTCTGTTCCTGGGTCCCCCCCTCCTTTTGGCCACAGGAGTTGATGTGGCATTTCTGTGTTGATCTTTTTTTGACAGAGTGAGTGTAAAAACAGCAAAATCTGCTAGCATCCCATACTGTCCAATTCTGCCTGCCTCCTCCTTCAAGACTGGAGGCATTGTGTTATGAGTAATGATGTCACTTGTAATGTGTTACATGTAGAGGTTATGAGGGCATAGCAGCATTATTTTGTGTAATGTTACTGGTACCTTGTAGATTATTTTATTCTGACAAGTACTGTTTGTTGTTACTCATAAACAATTATGTTTGGGTCCATTTTGGGGATTTGGGTGCACCATACTTTTAAAAGTGTATTTTATTTCTTGTTTAAAAGTGACTAAAATGTAATGTCCTAGTGATGAGAAACAATAGAGAGAAAGAATCAGTAAGAACTACACATTCACTTTAAAAAGTGAGAAACAATGAACAGCAGAAGTACACATTATTCATTCAACGTGATGCATTTATTTCTTAGTAAAGAGTATGAAGTGAGTTTTCCATTTATTATCATCAGCAGACTGCAAGGCCCAATGCAGTGTTTAGCTTCTGGTTTATGTAAACTCCGGGACGTGGTGGCGCTGGGGGCTAATCCACAGAAGCCTGTGCAGGGTCAGAACACCAGCAGTCGTAAGATCGAATCCACGTGACGGAGTGAGTGCCCGTCGCTTGTCCCAGCTCCCGCCAACCTAGCGGTTCGAAAGCATGCAAATGCAAGTAGATAAATAGGGACCACCTCGGTGGGAAGGTAACTGCGTTCCGTGTCTAAGTCGCACTGGCCATGTGAACACGGAAGATTGTCTTCGGACAAAACTCTGGCTTGGAAACGGGGATGAGCACCGCCCCCTAGAGTCGAACACCTGTTTTTAATGTCATCAAAAGAATGTTGATGCAATTATATTTTAAAACAACAACAACAACAACAACAACAACAACAACAACAACAACAACAACAACAACAACAACAACAACAACAACAACAACAACAACAACAACAGAGTGTTAGTGAGTTTGATAATGTTCATGGCTTACCTGAAAAGAAAAACTAGCAGAGATGGAAGTGCTAATGGGTACCTGCACTGGTAGCAAACTGAGCATACTCAGTGCTCTTTAAAATAACTGGAAACCGAAACTGAAAAGATGGCTTAAAGCTAACCATTCCCGAGTCCAGGGTACTGGCAGCAACTTCTTTGTAATAAAACTTTCCCTTCATGTTCTACTCTGCAAATGAGCTAATGCAGCAGCAGCAGCTTTTTGGACCCACAGAGAGCAAGCCACAGCAATGTGTGTGTCTATATCATTGTAATTTGGCAGGGGAGTTGGGGTGGGGAGGAATCGGCTGGCAAGGTGAGATCATTCTCCAAGCTGAGTACATGGAATTTGTGATCAGGCTGTCACTAAGCACCAGGGAAGGAGGGAAATGGGGCCATTCTCTCTAGATTGCTGCTGGTTGTTTCCATAGTTCTAATTCTTCTTGGAATTCTAAATCATATTCTGAGTTTCATGGGAGAAAGATGACAAAGATTTAGAACAGGATCTTTAAGAATAATAGTAGCATAAAAAGAGATGACAGGATTCCTAGCAGTTAAGTCATTTGATTCTAACAATGTAAGTTTAGATGCTTTTCTGCAGAGGCACTGTGTTAGTGTAACTTCCTGTTACCACTGGCCTGGGTTTTAAATTATTGAGAGCCACCTGGAATAATTTGGAAACAGTCACTGTGTAATACACAAAGCCAAATAGTAATGCTGTGTATGGACAGTTTGTAAATACTAAGCTAGATATATATAATGATAAGCTGCTTCTCTGAATATGGCATGCCTCCTGCCTCCCCTTCTGCAGCTCATCTTTCTCCTTTTTCTTTCCCTGCCTTTTAACTCCCTCCACCCAACAGTTCTGGTTGACGATGCACGCAAGAGTCTTACAGTCTCTGTCTCACTCCATGCAGGTTGGGTGCTGCCAGATGAACTCCACCCAGATGAGTCACTATAGCATAGGAGCCAATATGGGAAGAATGCTGGGCTGCATCCAGTTGATTTGCTTTCCTGACTGTGGAGAGAATGGATGGGGAGACTGCTTCTCGAAGTAAATCCAAAGTGTTAGTTATTCATAGAGGAAGGCTAGATGTGGGAGAGCTCTTTTAGTCAAGAGGCAAAACAAGGTAAAAGATATAAGGTTCCTGGGAAAACTGAGAGAAGCCATCTGAACAAACAGAAAATGGTGATGCGTCCCATGATTTCGGTTCTGCAAGTTGGCACATACAGAAAAGAAAATATGGAAGCCCAGCAGTGTGAACATGTATCTTGTGTATGGACCCAAATGTATGGCTTCATGCTTTTTCCGCAAGACGGAAGCCATACAAAACAGCAGACATTCCCATGACACTTTGAAGATGATAACTTGTTACAGCCTGAGCTATTATAACATTATTGCAGCATGAGTTTTCTTGGACTATTTCTGCTCCATTCATTTACTGATTTTTATCTGTGTTTCTTGAAGTGGGATACATCAGTTCTGGGACATAAGTCGGGCTAGTCACTGTGTGATCTTGACAGCTTAGCAAGGATTTTTCAGAAGGGTAGATCTTAACATTCAATTATCAAACACATTGTCCAAGTTACATATATACTTTTCATACCTTTCATCCTTTTCCCAGATGATTTTGCTATTTTTGAGTTCCCTTCATTGTAGGCATTTCCAAGTGTTGTCTCTGTTATCTAAATGGCACCTTCCTTTCCAGACAACTGAACATTGCAAAATAATAGTCACACCTCCTCTTCCTTCCTCTTCTCATTTTAATCAATGGGTTTGGTGGTGGGGTTTGAAGCAAGCATGCTGGCTATACTAGAAACCTCCTCAAATGGCTACATGATCACTCCCTCCATTCTCAGGATAGGTGATCTCCAGAGATCCAGGTATTTCATATGCCCATCCCTGATCCTCCAAGTTCCACATCTTTTCCAGCAACCCTCATCAACCAATTTTGTTTTCTTACAAAAATGTGGGGGTGGGGGTAGAGTTGTAATCCAAAAAAAGCCCTTTTGTATTCTTTATTGATTCACCAGAAATACTGAGGTGCTGAAATATCTAAAAGTAATAAAGTCGTGTCATTATAATATCTAAGAAAAATCAATTTGAAACCCAATTGGCTATGAACATATGTACATCTGCTTGGAACTGAGTTCAGTGGGATCTAATCCTAGGATGGTGTGCCAATGATGCAAAGCTATTTGTTCAAGAAGATTTATATATTGAGTTATAGTAGCAGTAATTAAAAATCAATAGGAGGTGCACAAACGTAAGAACAGACACAGACAGGTTGCCAATGGAAGTTATCCCCTCCTTTTGAAGTCCCAAGGGTATTCCTGCATGGGGCAAGTCCATGCCAATCATGGGTTGAGTAGACAGAGGATATGCATCATTCTGTGTATAAGGGATAAATATGCAGAAGGAATCACATTTTTTTTGTTTCAGAAATGTATCTACTGGGCATGCTATCATAGTTTAGTGTGTCTATGTAGAATACAATGCTCAGCATTCATGGCTAGTAATAAAATCTCTGTTGGAAAAACAATTTTTGGAACACAACAGAACACTAACAGTTAGGAAATAAGTGGAGGCATAGCTTGGAAGGGTAATTGGTACAGTAGCATAAGGTTAAGGAGTCATAGGTGAATACGGCATTGAAGCCTATTCAGAGTTAAACCCCATTTTATTTTATCAGATTTCAGCAAATTCAGTTGTCTGTGCACATTTAGCCTTGTAGATGCTTCACTGAGAATTAGGATTTGAAGAAGAAGAAGAAGTTGTTCTCACGAAGCTGACTTGCAAAACCCCTTCCTTTTTTTGGTTGTAAAGTGAGTTTGCAGGGACACACAGAAAAAGTAGAGTCCTGCACACAAAGCAAGACACAGAAGCTGATTGTGCAGGTAGTGTGGAGAATAAGCACAGAGAATGATTTAATATATGCTGTGGAATTGCTGGCCTCAGGAACTGTCTGCAGGCCTAAACACAAAAGGTCTGCCAGTTGGGCCTGGCTGTGGCCCCAGACCAACTGGACAGAGCAGGTGCATGGATGTAAGCCAGTACAAACTGTGTGCACAAGGTACAGTATAAGGAAGAGAAAAGCTTTGCCATGCTCTCACTCTTTTCCATTATACTGGCTTCCCAGTGATGTGATGAACTATATTTTCAAGTTGGTCTTTCTGAAAAATAAGAGGCAGAGACTCACCGGTATCAACCAACTGTTCCTGCCTTGATGCCCCCCATAATCTGTTCAGTTCACTATACAGTCAGAGTAACTAGACTGAACAAATTAAATGGGAAAATGCAGCCCAGTGACAGGAAAAGACATGAAATGTCAGAGAAAGGTCTCCTTACCACCTTGACTTGCTTTGTGATTTTTTTTTAATTTAATAGAATGAAGGAGATAAGACCATTTGTAGATGTTAATTTGAATGCCTAGACAGAACAGGGCTTGGAGTTACTTTTTTTTTTGGAGTACAACTCTTACAATCTCCTAATACACTGCCTGTCACCATAGGTTTTGGGGGGATTCTGGCAATTATAGCTCCCTCCCACCCCCCACCCCAAAAGGGAGCTCCTGGGTATCTGGATTTATGTGTGTCCTCTTTTCAGGAGTTGTAACAAATGTGAAAATGTCAGGATTGCAAAGGCTGTGTTGCTACCATCCTCTAGTTTAATCATATTTGTTTTTTAAGTGCATAATTATGGCTGTTTGCAAGTGTACCAGACACATGGCCGTCCAGATGTTATTGGACAGCATTAACATACCATTGGCTTTGTTGGCATAGCTGATGGGAGCGGTAGCCCCTACAGTATCATGAGACCCACATTTTCCTTCCTTGTGTTTTAGAGGATTCATATGTCTTCTCACACTTCATCAAATTTGGATGGAAAAAGTTATGATTTGGTATTTAATGCTACTAGTATAATAT